AATGACCATCACTATAGCAGATTATATAGGGTTTTAATAGCAAATAATATAGTATACAGACGACGGTTTTTAAACAACAACAGACGTATTACACATATATAGATGACGGGTTTTAAAAAAACATCGTCTAATGCTAGCAAGAAACAGAGGCCAGCGAACTTGAACCACGACGGTAGTTAAAAAATGCGTCATGGTATAAAAATACAGACGACGGTAACAAACCGTCGTCGTATGCATAAAAAAGATATGGAAATCCCAGTTTATTTTCAAGAACCCAAAATATATTCAGAACACAACATATACATTAATTTTTATGTTGGGTATTAAGAACACGTATACTAAGCACGAAACCAACATATACTAAGCATGAAAACATTAAATCCATTCCCGATTCATGAAAACATTAAACATTAAATCCATTAACCCATACCGTCGACAACATTAAAAAATCACAAAACCTTTTACCGCAGAACTGAAAATCATTCAATGAATTTACAAGCATGAGATTAGGGTTTGTACTTACAGGTAGGCAGAGCTCACAGATTATGGCCAACTTGGATTCGACGGAGTTGTAAACTTGGCCAACTTGGATTCGACGGAGAGCCCAACTTTGAATTAAAGTTGAAGTGAGAGAGCGGAGCGAAATGTTTTAGGTCACATACTATGGCCAACTTGGTTCAGGGTTACAAGTAAAAGAGTTAGAGCGAAATCTGAAAATTTTAGGTCGAGGTGAAATTTTTAGAAAGCGCGCTTTTTAAAAAACATCGACGGAAATAAAAAACAACCGTCGTTAAAAGTTCAACTTAAACATGACGCTTATTTAAAAAATGACGTCGTTGTAAATATCCTTACGACGCAAAACCAAACTACCGTCGCTAAACTGTCTGAAGAAATATGACGCCTATTAAAATAATTGGGTCGTGGTATCTCCATACGTCCTAAAAAAAAAACAGACGTATTAGAAAATTAAATAGACAAATATACCCTAAACCCTAATAAATAAAACCTAAATTATATATATTTTTAAAAAAAAAAAATTTTCAAAAGGGATTAGGGTTTTATGGCCTAAAATATCTCGTCCATAAAACCCTAAACCCTAATCCCTTTTCCAAATTTATATAAACCCTAAACCCAAAACCCTAAACCATTAAAGTATAAGTGATGTTGTGAATCAAGAAAACATTTCTCTTTTTGGTGGTAAATTTAAATTTGTATAACTCAAACTTAATTTTTTAAAGCTTAAGGGGGAAGAAAATATCTCAATGACTTCAGAGGAGTTGACGTTGCAATTTTTGGAGTTATTTTAAATTTATTATGAATATTTCGAATTAAATAGAATAAAATATTATTAATAAAACCCACAAACGACTTCGTCGTTAATAAATTAACGACGTTGTAA